CCCCAAAACCCCAAAACCCCAAAACCCCTTTAGGATAAAGTGTTATTGGATAAAATATATTTTAGAATAACAGAGGTAAAAGTTGAAAACCAGTGCTTAATCAAAGAGAACTCGGCCTTAAAGGCCAAATTTGGCTTTCTAAGTCAGAAAAACTCAGCTACAATAAATCTGAAAAGCAACGAAGATAAGAAGAAGTTTGCTCATAAATTATTCGAACATGAAGATTAAGTCTATAGTATAGCAACCAATAGATGCAGCTATGCATTCAGAGCCCTTTAGGGTGCATCTCGAAGGTTTCGTAATTGGCAAATCTCTCTGTACACTAATTCAAGAGTTCTGGGCCCAATATTGGGACTTTGACTACAAGGGGTATCATAACAAAGAAGATCAAAGAAAATCCTGATGAAGTTAGATTCTCTACTATGGATCAAGCCTTTGAACATATTGAAGATTTCAGGTAAGGAAATGCTAACTAAGTCTAGTGACGAACGGATCGATTATATCACTACCAAGTTTACAGGTAAGTCTCGCATGGGATTATACAGAAGCTTCATTATGAAATAATTTAAGGTTATGCTCAATATCGGCGATGAAAGACATAATTATCAAACCTTCTTCTGATTATGACCACTATTGTTTCTTTGATTTTGGAATTAGCAGAATTGTTGTAAAAGAAATTGGCTTTTATCTTATTAAATATACAACTTAGATGGCTAATTTTCTGTATATAGAAATCATTGAAAACATTGGAAATCGTGAGACAAAGCTGTACCAATGTTGTCACAAGGACATGCACATCTCAGAGTTCCTCAAAAGGTGTCGAGTCAAGAAGAGGTATTGCAAATATATACAAAAGTCAATAACTCCGAAAGAAAAGTTTGTCCATCTCGGCCTTAGTGAAGGTGCCATCAACTTTATCGAACAGAATGGAAGTGCTCTTAAGACCATTAGAAATAGGATCCAGAAGATGTAAGTACAAACTCCCTTCACCATGTAGAGTTAAAAGGCTTGTTAAGTGCAAGACTGATTTATTCAAAACCTATGCTGATATGAAGTCTATCTATCAGGACTCAACTACGAATCATCTTTACTCTAAGGAAGATATCATTCGAATCACAGACTTGATCTATGAGCTGAAAGAGACTAAATACTTTTCTTCTGAATATCTTTGGCTATCTTAAGCATTGTGAAGCACAGAAAATAGCTGATGAGAAATTAAGTGGCATTGGAAATCTTAACTTTTTACATTCATTTTTTGGGGGGTTAGTATTCTGAAAATAAAGTATTTTTTAATTTGAAACTCAGCAAACATATTTCAATTATTTAATGATATCTATCTTTCTCGAGCACACCACTGGTGACTAAACTCTTAGCTTGAAGGCCTAGATCTAAGCTGGTAAGACTTTCTTTTGGTGACTGAATAAATGTTTCATTCAAAGAAAGATTTCAATCCATATTTCAAGAAACATACTCTTTGTCTTCTACAAAGGATAATGCATGATTCATCTGTTTGTCTTTCAGCTCAAACTTCAAATCCTTCTTCTAGAGTGGGGTTTTGGGGTTTTGGGGTTTTGGGGTTTTGGGG